AGACGCAAGCTCAACTTAGGCGCATTGACTCTTGAAGAATTAAACGAAGCAGCATTTAAGCATGAGCATCAACTGCTCATCAACAAGTAACCGCTTAGGAATGATTCAAAAACTGCACACTCTCTCGCCAATCATTGATGATTTTGGACCTCGCTTGGGTGGACGCTTAAGTATCTCGGGACTGTCCTTCTGTGCCAAGCACCCGATCATCTTTCCGACGAAGCATCGTGTCAGGAAACTTATCTTAGAACACGACACTATATGCATCTGCCCCGAGGAGTTTCAGCATTTTTCGTCATCGTTAGACAGCGATACTGTAGATTGGACGCACGAAACCTAATACGGAAGATTACTCACAACTGTTTGAAATGTTTCAGACAACGCCATCATACAGCTCAATAATTCTTGGCTTATCCACGGCGACAACGGACAAAACTGTGTCGGCGCAAGGAGAGCGTTGAATAAAATGGAAGAGTTGCTAACATCGCAGACCACAACACTATCATTTCTCAGACAATGGCCAACGAGGGAATCAAGTGCAACTTCATTCCGCCACATGCACCACACTGGGGTGGCAAGAAGTTGCATCTTCATCGCGTCTCGGTAATGCTACTCTCACATTTGAACAAATGCGCACTCTGTTGGCACAAATCGAAGCCGTTACCAATTCTCGCCCACTGTATACAACACCGGACACCGACTTGACATACTTGCCACCTGCTCACCTTCTGATTGGACGACCCTACACTATGGTTCCTGAAGGGTATCTAGAACAAGTCCCGGCAAACAGATTGGATTACTGGCAGTAATCTTAGGCCATGCTGCAATGCTTTTGGAAACGATGGCATTTGGAGTATCTGACCACTTTACAACAGCGTCATAAATGGAATGCAAAATACCCAAACGTATCCCCTGGAGATGTTGTGTTAAGGAGTCGCACACACCCCCCGCAGCATGGATCTGCGGAGCAAGGGTCATGGAGCAAGGGTCATCGATACATAGCCTGGACGTGATGGCTTTGTTCGTGCAGTTAAACTTAAAACGCCCACTGGAGAGGCAACGCGTCCAATCACAAAGATCGCTATATTGCCTAACTTCGAAACCATGTTTCATAGCTGGGCGTAATGTTAAGAACGGATCCATCCGAAATCAAGTGATATTTTTTCTTCTTTTTCACTGACATTCTCCTTCAGAATTTCCATACACACGATATATAATTATGTATACATTTACTTTGCAACTCAATTCAATTCAACTATTAGCCTAAGTAGCATAAGCAGATCAGTTATTTTGAGAATCAAAAATATATTTAACCAATAGACTTACTACAACGACTTAAATATTACTATAACCATTAAATAAACGAATGTATTGAACTTAATAAACATTGTTAAACACAAGCAGATGCAAACATGCCTGAATTACACGAAATGCAAAGCGGACAGCGGCTTCAAAGTAGCGATCAACAAAGTAAAACAAGTAAGAGGTTCTAGTCGGGAGCTCCCGACTAGGGGATACCCTGAACCCTCTTCTTCCAACACCAAATGCAGCTCGCGCTACGCGCTAGTCTGATTCAGTAGTAATAAAAAAAATGAAAATAAAAACAAAAAATTATTCCCTTGGCAGGGTTCGAACTCGCAACTAACCACACCACTTACCGCTACCTCTACTTAAGGGCCACACCAATAACTGAGCTTTAATGAGAAAAAAACCAATTAAAATAGCATCACAGAAAACAATACAATCGCAATTGCAATGCTGTTGATAGAATTCAAAGCAGACGCGCATGAATGTGTGTATGTGTACATGTATAAAGAAATTCTTGGAATTTGCACATAACTTTCATGTTTCTTAACCGATCTTAATAAAATCGAAAGTACATCTTATTGTAGAATAAAATAAAGAATATTTGTATATTCTCAAAAATTCCATTTCATATAAGTTGTGGCTTAAATTACAAGTTGGATAATTAACTTGATTTATAGCTTTGAGGTGGTAGCGGGGAGGTGGCGATAGGTATAAAATGAAAGATACTTGATATATACATATATGCTATTCTAGAAGCTACATGTCAAGTTTGGTGACTCTAGCTCATATTATTTGCCGAAATTTCTCAAAAAACCATCAAGTCTCTCGCTCTTATAGGTTCTGATATCCTTGCGTTCATACATACGGACAGACGGACGGACGGACAGACGTACAGACTTCTACCTTCTACCTGTTCCATAATTTAACCAAAACGAAGTACAACAAAATTTAAGTGCTTCTATTGAGAGTTTATCTAAAGTTAGATAATTGTGAAGAATATGCAGATGCATATGATTTGAATGCAAAACAGAAGTATGTGAATGCACGTAATAAAATGAGTGGAGAAGCAGCTCTGTTTTTGGAAACTGTTACAGTTGCTAATTATAATAATTTGTGTGCTGCATTTTTGGAGTATTTTGAGAATAAAGTTCCAAGTACTGAAGTGCATAAGCTACGTATGCGCAGAATGCAAGCAGCAGTGATCGGCAGCTGGATGCAACGTGATAAACTTGGGAGCGTCAAAACGATGAAATCGATTTAAATCCGCTTTTGAAACATAACGATGCAGTCACACAGCTGGTTGAAAGCTGCAAGCCGGTAAAAATAAGATAAAACTGTACGAGATCGAAGATGGACATGTCTGGACAGGCCAAGAAAAGATAAAAGCTTTAATAAACTCTCCGATGCCGAGAAACATTCGAAGAGTTCAGGCATTTTTGGTTTGACCGGATATGTTAGAAAATGTATTCAGGATTATGCCATATTAGAAAAACCCTTGAGACAGCTGCTTAAAAAAGACGCTGAAATTATTATTGCAGGAGCGCAGATCCAGGCAAGCGAAAGTTTGACGTCAGCATTCAAAGTCTTAACAGTGCTGAACATTTTTAAGTAAAATGCCAAGATCCAAAGAATGCTTCGGGACAGCACTATTACATCAACAAAGTGGTAAATGACATCCGGTTATGTATTGGAGCAAACAAACATCAACGCAGCAAGAGAAGTTGCACAGCTACTATTCGGAACTGAAGGCAGCATCTTTGGCTATTATAAAGCTACGTAGCTAACGAATTCTAGCTAATTACCGACTGTGCAGCATTCCCAAGAGAAGTCGTCTAATGGATGATGTATCTGCATGATTTTATATTTTAAAATTGTCCATCGAGCAGGCAGCAGAATCACGATGATAGAGTAAGTCCCTTTTCGGTGATAACTGTCACGTCAAAAATGCATGTAAGAATCTGAAGAGCTAAACAGAAAGATGATAATTTGGCTCCAGTATCCAAAATCCTCGAACAAAGACCATAAGCAGATATTAAGTTGACAAATAATCTCATTTTCAAACAGATTAAAGGTCAGGACTCAATGGCGGTCTCCAGGAGCATGCAAAAAGAGATAATCGGCAAGACGAAAAATTTTGGACACATGGGAGCGCAAAATACAATACAAGCTGTGAAGCAATACATTTTTATTCCACATTTGGAAAAAAAGTGATCGAACTCATTTAAAATTGCATCGAGTGCATCATGCATAATCGGAGACAATACATGTCAATCATTTGGGTTCGCTAGATACCACATCCAAGAGCCAACCGGGTGATAATCTCCGTCTTAGCCAAAATGTAAGCAGCCGAGCCTACAAAATGGTGCAAATACACATCGCAGGTGCAGCAGGCTATTAACGCACATATATATTCATAGACGAAGCTTATGCCTTTGAAATCCTATAAGTTGTAAGAATGCGTAACGAAGCTGAGGTCCAACAACTGAAAATTCTGCAAGACGAGCTGCTACAAAGTGAACGCAACGAAATACGACAGCAAGCAAAAGCACAAATTCAGAAAGCACAACAGTCTACAGTTAACTATGTTAACTTAGTAACTGATTATCTATGGCAAGACTATGAGTATCAGCTAAACGATTTGATTGCGATCAAGGTTATCCAATTCATAACCGTCAAAAGTTTGCAAGCAAGTTTATTGGTCCCTACAAAGTCGTCAAGATCAAGCGAAATGGTAAATATGAGGTTAACAACGTTGTGAGTTTCAGGGGCCAAGGCACACATTAAGCGTTGACAAAACTAAGCTATAGCGTTACTATGAGCAAGAAGAAGAGAAGACGATGGTGCAGATTCGTCTGCGACAGATGAAGAGCAGGAGAGCCGAGTATAAGGTAGCAACCTTCCCTAAATAAAATCACGTGGCATCCTAGAGCGCCTAACTATCGTTACCGATAAACGCGAGGGAGAACAGTTAAAGCCTCAAGTTGTCAGCCGTCAGTAGCATAAACAGATCAACCGTAATTATGCAGAAAAAGCCGAACCACGATAACCACACTGGATCCAGAGGATAAGCAGTTATTTGAGAATTACAAATATATTTACGCAATAGTCGTATAACATTGACTTAAATATTACTATAACCATTATTAATCGAATGTTTTTGACTTAGTAAAGATTGTTAAACACAATCACTCTAAAATGTACGCATATATATGCATAGTCGGACGGATGGAGAGAGAGAAACACGGAAATGGGTAGATCATTGCGTGTAAGCTTAAAACTGATGGCCCGTTTCCCATATTCAGTGGGTGCTGTTTGCTTCTGAAGTTAAGTGAAATTTCGAATCCTCATTTGTAAAGGCGCGTCAGTATAAATGCTAAGATTCTATGGCTATCCCCGCTGGCATGGAAAAAAAAACGCAATTTTCGGCGACTTGGAATAAATACTCGTATATATTCTCGACAAAAAGTGTTAAGATTTTATTGTTAATCCGACACGGGGGCGTGACAGATTGGGATAGTATATGTCTTCCACACTTGTATAGCTAGAGGGACTAAATTTAAATGTTTATTTTTCCTTATACGGGGTATAAGTGGAAGCTGAAAAGTAACACACTTGACCAAAGACACCAGGAATATGAACGAGTATATATAGCATATATAGTATATACGGCAAGTGGTGAATGAGCTACTTACCCAACAACGAGAGCAGACCACAGGCAAGCCAGATTATGAAGCTAACTCCAACGGAACCGGTGCGAACCAGTAAACCAGAAGGTGACACAAATATTCCAGATCCTAAGATAATAATAAATTTTATGTTAAGGTGATAAGTTTGGAAGAAAGAGTAAGGAATAAAAGGGAAAAATGTAGGCGACATTTATTGCTTATTGCTTATTGCTGATATTGGCTGAAAGCTTCGACCGCTAAAAACTGGAAAAATACCATAGCTAAGAATACAAACATGAGGAAACTGTGTTTGTTTTACTGCGGCATTTCATTTATTCATGGCATGTCACAAAACCAATAATGTCTAAAGTCCAATGTGCAGGAAATTAAAATAGAATTAAAATCGGTGCACAAAATGAAAATATTTAGATATTGGTTATGTTCAATGTCTGCCGTTTATGTAACTCAAATTTTTTATGCTGGTTTTGACGTTGGAGACTTGAAATTTAACATATTTAAACGTACACGTAAAGGTTCATAGTCTAGAATGAGTTTATCTTTTTTTCGATACCCCAGACATTGTTTCAAATATACAAAAAACAGAGCGGGCTTGGGAAAACATACATATCGACACCAGCTCATTTTATAATATTCGGTAGCGGATTTCCGTTAACAAAAAATTACATACACACTATGAATAACTTTAAACAGGTTATTGGCCTAGCCAAATTTATTCAATTTTTTTAAAATCAATCAAACAAGAATTCTCTTTTGGGGACTGCCCAACAAGCAAATAGCCTAAACCTTCTTCTATGTTACTAAAACCAGATTTGATTTGTATAAATATTCGAGACTAGCTCCTAAAGGTTGTGAGATCGACGATTTTATACATACGGACGGATGAACGGGCAGACCTAAAATATATGTAGTTCATGGGGAGATGCTTCCTTCTGCCTGCTTCGATAATAACATTGTGAACAGAGTCCGTCGGTATGAACGCTCAACCCAACATTGCCAGGCTACGACCAGCCCGCTATCCGACCGAATTTGAGATAAAATGCGTGAACCACTTTCGTACCCGGAATATCCTATAGATGTACCTCGACGGATCATACCCGTGGACTTCAACGAGGCGTCGCCACTTTTCCAAGTGTCCTGTCTTTTCGACGTCTTGTACTCATTTGGCAGTAACTATTTAACTGTAACACCAGGACTCGTAACGGTTTGTTAAGAAACTTCTAGTTTTATTATGTGACACGAGTATCTTCTCGGTATCAAACAAGTCATTTACTATCTTTTGAATTGCATCCTCCTGTGCCTCTGCTAGGAGGCATGACTTCGACGACGTTGCCGTTGATTGATCTCTTACGGGCCCAAAGACCACAAATCCAAGTTTAATGGCTGCGGTATATGGCCCCTGGGTCGCAAACTTTCTTGTTTGCATTGGCAGTCCAAGATCTGCATGCTCTAGTCCAATCAGAAGTTTTGGTACCACACAGCGATACGATTTCATTGGAAGTCGTGCACAATTGCTCAACGTTTGGATATCACGTCGATGCAGAATTTGCATTGGTAAACTCAGGTTGGACACGGCGTGCACATTTCGCAACACATGACGTTTGCGTTTGTCCGCTCCACTAATTTCCATGCTTACTACTGTTGTCGGCTCACTGGTTGACCTTCCACCAAACTATTCTATATTTAGTAGTCTGATCTAGATCGCGCAGTAGCTCGTTGTGGATCATAGTTACAGACAAACCCTCGGCGAGGAGCGCATACGTATCGATTCGCTTGTTGGCCCCGTGCACTGGCACTATTCGGAATAGCAGGCGTTCTCCACCCGAATCGGCACAACTTAAGTTCCCCGTGTTGCGTCCCTTGGGCATCCAATGGCTGCGGTGCCCTTATGTGCGGATCCGCTGGCTGCGGCATCCGTCCAGTATTCATCACTCAATCACCTGCTGGCTGCGGTGACTTGTGACTGTTTGCAAGCTCATGTAAAAAGCGCTGATGCCCCCTTCTGGCATCCATTACTTGGCATTCGTCGGCCCTTTTGCAGACACTTGCCGTAGACACGAGAAACAAAGTCGGTGCTTTTAACAAACCTCCACCTTTTTGGCGGAGAAGCTAGGCTAAAGTCATTGCATTTCCTGACTACATGTTGCGTGTTGCCCATTACAGATTGGGCACTGTTTGGTGCGACCTTGGCGTCGCCCTTCATTACTTTGGTCAATGCTGGCAAGCAGTACTATACGACAGTCGGAAAGGCCTAATCGTAGCTGCATTCCTGGCCTATTCCACCCTCTTGCTTGGTGGTAGCTTAGCGAAAAAATCCTCCATCAGTGTTGGATTCGCTAAATGCTGTTCTCCGTTAGCTGATTGTAGAAAGCAAGGTTTCTTTTACGATGCCGTGCTCTTGCATTTCCTGCACCTCTTGATTACTAAGTAGCTGGCTGCGTATTATTTGTTCTGGGCGACCATATATGAAACGGAATTGTTCCATCACATTGTTCACATTCCTGGGAATGTGAGCAACGACTTCACAATATCAAGTGCATCACCTTTGAGTGCCTTCAACAATCGCTGGTTATTCTCCAGATTCGTACAGTTATACGCCAAAGTTGTTTCCATAAATGCACAAAAGAATAGGCCCATCTTTAGGTTGACCCCCAAACTCGGGTAGATCTGGTAATTTGCGTAGCAAGCATTCATCGTTCGTCCTAGGAGCCGTCCATGCGAAGTTACTAGATGCCTGAGTTGGCTTCAAAATTATCGCGCTTGTGACGGCGTGTAGCCGAGCGTTTGGTGCGCAATGCCTGTAGAAAAACATGGCGTTGAGCGACTTGATGTTGTAAACAGTTATCCAAAACCATAGCCCGTTCTACAGTTTGCAAGTCTATTCCCAAAGTTTCACTCAATGACGTCGGCAATGCCTCACTCAAAGATGGCGCTCCGGTCAAAATAGCAGTTCCACTCAAGGTTGCAGTTTAACTTAAAGTTCCACTCGAATATGATTACCCAAATAAAATTGCAGTTTTTATCAAACTTCCACTCGACAATGGCATTCCACTCAAGAACCGATCGAAGATGGCGGCAGGTTAGATGTACCGCCCACGCCAGCATTGCTCAATTTAGCGGTATCATTTGACCTCTGCAACTCGTGCTCTGGCGCAGAGACTCTCTTTATGAAATCCATGACTTGCGTACTTGATAGATGCGTGCTTGGGCTTGGCCCTCCTGTCAATATGCTGGCTCGTGCACTCACTCCCGCGGCCTCAGTGCCGGCAGGTTGTACACTTGTGCCCACATCACGGTGCTAGGGCTTTTAGCTTTTGGCGGTTACAGCGGCAACTTGCAGCTGTGGTACAGTGCTCACAATTCTGCTTGTCCGTTTCGGCTGCACCGCACTTGTTAAACTGAGATTATTAACTATTATTATCTTCGGCATCCATTTCACAAGTCCCGGCTTGCTCGCAGTGAAGCCAGGCGCTCACACCGGCGTTTCAATATCGCAACTTTGCCTCGGAGCTTTCCTCTTCGCCTCCAAAATAAAAGTGATGAGCAACCGATCAGCGACGGACGGTTGCAGCGGCCGACGGCCGTTACATTCAACAAATTTTGGCCCACATAAAATTTGGCTCCTCTAAAACTTTGGATTAATATTTATCGTGTTGCCATGTTTTGATCGCGTAAGGGACCCGACCAAATTAGCGCACAGTATTGCCATGGGCTCCGCCACCTGTCTAGTCAACATACGACCGGCCGGCTTGAGTTGTTAACTCTTGAATTTCTGGCAGATCTCGCAGCACTTAACGTATACCTTCTCCGTGGCGGGAAAGTTTACCTCGGCTTGTAATAATACTCGTTCCTGTCCCTCTATCGTCTGCGGCCGCATTGCACCGTCAATCGACACAATGATTCCTCCTGTTCCCTGCCCCACGGTCAATTTCTATCCTTTTTCAGGACCGCGACAGACAATCCTCTGCCTGAGGAAGCTGCAGTTCTTTCTTTCTATTTAGCTTTAAGTTGTGTTCCGTCAACCGGCAAAATATCTCCCTTACCACAAAGTCTTCCAGAAAGGCAAAAGCATGCGTCTCTATCTCCAACCCTATCACTGTGTTCAACGCTCATTGGAAAATGGCACGTGCTGAATGCAGTACAAATGGCATAAACTGTCATTGGATCAAACCCCTCACGAATACCCTAAACGCAGTGCATTTCCTACTTTCGGCTGCCATCAGTGTCTACCAAAAACCGTGTTTTATATTTAGCGTAGAAGAATTCCGAAGCAACCGTCTGAGGATGTGGTTCATCTGAGGGACGGAGTGGGCAGGGTTGCTTTGATGGTTTCACTCTAGCACCGGCTGTCAATCTCCCACCACCTTTTGGGATCCCTGTGGGCCCTGCCCGAGTAAGGCCCTGCCTCAGCTTCCCTGCTTTCCCTATCCTCGCCATTTGGTTGCCGAGCAGGTACTCCCCTCCCTTAAGTGGGAGACCTTCTAGGACTAGGATGATGTGGTCCAGCATGGAGAACAGCGCCGGCAACAATCCTGGCTGCGGAATGGAACCCCGTCTTTGAGCTTCCCAAAATAGCGTGGTGGTGAGAAAAATTCCAGGAATCCTTAGCCAACTAATGAACGTCAGGTAGGCAGCTCAAGGATGGTGTATTACGCGTCCAGCTCAGCAAGCCGAGCCCACGTTTTAGGGAGTCACCGCCGTCCTATACGAAAGCTGCAAGCCGTTCTGGCAGCCCGATCACGCGGGCCTCCTTGACCAACACGAGCTCATGGACGACCGCAACCATTTTCTTCTTAAGGATGGATCCATTGTACGACTACCCCGGGGTTTGGCACTCATCTGACATTATCTCCCTTTTTATACCCTGAGCCCACTAAAAATGGGTAAAAAGGGTAAGCAGTTTTAGTGAAATTGTAAGCAAGAGGCAGAAGGAAGCATCTCCGATCGTATAGAGTGTATATATTCTTGATCCGCGTCAATTGCCGAGTCAATCTAGCCATGTCCGCCTGTCCGTCCGTCCGTATGTATGAACTCAAGGATCACAGAACCTTTAAGAGCTAGAAACTTGAAACTTGAAGCTAGAAACTTTTGAACGTAGGTCCACCTAGTTC